GGCACTGTGCTACAAGCCGGAAGGTTGCGGGTTCAAGTCCCGATGAGGTCATTGGATTTTTTCAGTTGACCTAAACCTTCCCTCAGCACTATGGCCCTGGGGGTAAGGGGCGACCGGCGCGTAAGGTTGACAACCTTGCCGCCATCTGTGAGCCGATTGTCTAGAAAATGTGAGAACCTCAACATCTGACAACCCTGTGGGCCTCCACGGCCTGTTACAGGGATACCTTTAATTACTTACTTTACATCTTGAAACTGCTATTTGGGCTGTTTTGTACAAGTAGAAAAGGATCTGTTCTTCATTTTAGTTAAGCAGTGATCTGCTTAGTGCTGCATGAAATAGTATGATATAAAATTTGTGTTTTAGAAAGAAGGTCTGATGAAAGGCAAGGCGGCAGAAATGTGTTCAGTCCACAGTTATAAATCTTCAAGTTTGAGATCATTTCAGAATAAGAATGGAATCATTTTTAATATAGTGGAATGAGATGAATAGTTATACAGTCCAAACGGATGTCTTAACATATAATCACATTGAATAGGGTCAGAATTAATCAATTCAATTCCCATACTGCAATAAATCTTCCATTGTCGTAGTTGGCTTCTCACTTGTTTTCTTTGCCTTTGGTTAGAATAACAGAGTTTGTAGTATGAGTTTGTTTTTGTGCATGTGAACTGTGTGTTCATTTAATAATTGTCTTTGTTCATTTATTATATTTTCTTATGCATTTACATTCATTCCATGTCCCTCAAGTTTCTCAGTGGTGCCAGGAACTGTAGACTAGACTGACGTACGTTAGATGCTTACATTTTACTGCAAAATAATTATGTAAGAACTAGTAGTGTTATTTTTTTTTAATTTTGTCATTTTTCTTGGCGTTTTTATTTTGATACAGTTCAAATTCGCGTACTGAAATTATATTCACCTTGAAGAAAGCAGTCTTCTGGGATTTGGCACCGTGTATATGTGGTGTTAACCGACGTTTCGGAGGAACGTATCGCCTCCATCTTCAGGGTAGAAGAAAAAATATAAGAAATCTGAAATAAGAAGTCTTCTACCCTGAACATGGAGGCGATACGTTCCTCCGAAACGTCGGTTAACACCACATATACACGGTGCCAAATCCCAGAAGACCGCTTTCTTCATAGTCACCGCCGTGAAAGCCTCAAATCTTACATATATTCACCTTGTCTGCGTTTGAAAAGGTGAATATGCTTTATCGTTTTCTGAATATGGGGCCCTTAATTTTGTCATTATTTGAACATATGGTTTCACTAATTCATTATATTATGTTTTCGCATGTGGTTTGTACTGACAACATCATCAAGGCCAGTAAGCATATGAGTAATACACGTAATTTCAACCTTGTTCTTAATTTTGGCCTCTCAATTTTTTTAACATTACCTATTCATGACTGGTATGTCGGCCTCTTTCCAAATAGTTTCCTGCTTGTCACATATTCATTTCTTTTAATTCAGTGTTACGTAATCTATAGCTGAAACAGTTTCATTGATTGACCATCTTCTGTTTGCGTTTTGGTTATTCATTCATATTCAACCAAGTCCAAAGCCTCAGGGCAACATTTCGTATTGTGGTAGTTTTTAGGGAGAGGGGTTATTGACCCCGCCACCCAATTCTGAAGCTGGAAGACTACTCTTTATTATCTTTCTGGGACAATTTTTTATTATATTTACAACTGCACTCCCTAATTTGAGGCTGTTTCCTCCGTCCACATTTTGAGGATGTGACAGGGACCCATGTAACGTGCATTTTGAAATGTTACAATATTGTATACAGGCGGTCATAGAAGTCGCTTTTCCAAGATCATACTTACGTTCCAAAAGAAAACCACTTTGCCTATAAACAGACGCAAATTGAGTACATACACCAATAACTCAACAGCTGATAGAAACAAATGCTAGTGTGATCACATTGTTAACCACCGATTGCAAATAAAAATCTGAATGTAAGTGAAAATAATTACAGTTAAGCACTGCACTATCTCGATAATTGACTTTTAGGACAGCCGGTATGTAAAACGATTACCTATAGTCCATTCGCGGAGACGAGAGAGTCCTCGTAAACAAATGCACGCGGTGCCTCCTTCGCTCTTTGAATGAAATCATGCAGCGATCACGTGATGCGTGTACCGTTGCAGGGGCGTCCAAAGTTCACTCTTCTTTCTGAATGCAGGTTAACGTGCGTCCGAATGCAGTGAGTACACTGAAGTAACTGCGCGCTTTGTCCACTCCTTGCTGTTAGCTGTGGCGACTCGGGGCTTGCTTTGTTTACGCTGACTGTCTCGTCTCCGCGAATAGACTATAAGTTGTGTTAGAATTGCTGTGAAGGCAAGTGCCCAGCCCAGTGAACATACAGTGGTCAGGAAACTTTCTGTAAGCTGAACATTTCACCAGAAGGCAGCTTATGTGGTAGACTATCTCTTCAGCAGAATTGGTGTGCCAGACATTACAATATGTGAGCTCTTTCTCACCTTTTATTCTCATAAAGAAATTGGGATTTTTACGGGAACAAATTTACACAATCAATCATATATGAAAATTACATACTTTTAGAACTTTCGTCTCTTTTTCCCAGACTCGTACAGTTTCTTGAGACCCGATGAACATTCTTTTTTTTTCCCCCCCCACCCAGTTTCATAAGGAACTGAATACGTCTGCGTTCTTTCAGGTTTACAGCTGTTGACCATAGTATGTGCATGTGTGTTAGGATTGTCAGTCATTGTAAATTTATCTGGACAGCAGTAACGTAGCTTTCTGTGACTAGACAACTCTCTCAGTTAAAGTTGTATGCCGACAAAATTTGATCTTTGACACTTTACTTTCATATATTGTAGCTAACCCACGACGATTGGGACTTGTTTCCAAAGTAGGATAGGTGTGTCTGGCACGGATAAGAAAACAGTTAGGAGCCCAGTCAACAAGAGTGAACTATTGAATCTGATAACCAACACAATTCTGAGCCAAATGCCATGCATAAAATGAATCAGGTTGTGAGTGAAAATTGAATGAATGCTAAAATAACCTTGAGGAGGAAGCCAAAGAAAATTAGGATGGTATCTGTCAAAAAGATTTTGTCTTGGGAAAATCCAGGACACTGCCAGACATATATTGCAGATGTGGATAACAGCTGATAATCGCCACAACACCTTAGATGGCCAGTATTATAATCTCAGCACAAAAATAGAAAAACTGACCCAACTTTTTACCCCAAATCAGTTTAGCATTTGCACTGGGAGAATGTTTGAAACTCTGGATGTATGAGGCAGAGTGAGATCTTCACGGGAATGTGTCAAGAAATTGTGTTTAACAGGAGGTCTAACAGTGTAAGTAAATACTGTATAATCCTCACTTAATCATCTCACGTCTTTATAGAAGGGAAACAATGGCTCAGTCTCTTGATAATAGACCATTATTTATTGTTGAAGTGAAACAGGTAACAAAGAGAAAGAATGTCACTTGTATGTGTGTGACTATAGAGGGGGTATGGGTTGATGATTGGATTTATTGACCAACTCGGAACTACATTTCACAGATCACTGACACACACACAGACTAGTGTCCTCAGTCTATTACAGTCTCCACTAGCTGTTTCCTTGCTTCCCGCGCACAGGTCCCCTTGTCGCATCCGACCGTGCATGGCGGCCATTTCTCACCAACCTCCTAGTCTTCACTTAAGAGGCTTGCTACCATTCAGTCCACAACTTCCTGTCTTCCTGTCTGCTTTAAAAACTTAAAAATTAGAATATACAAGGCTGTAATTTTGCCTGTGGTTCTGTATGGGTGTGAAAATTTTGTCTCTGACCTTAAGGGAGAAACTTAGACTGATGGTCTTTGAGAACAGGGTGCTTAGGAGAATATTTGGACCGAAGAGAGATGAAGTGACAGGAGGCTGGAGAAAAATGTATAATGAGGAGCTTCATAACTTATACTCTGCGCCAAGTATAATTATAATGATCAAGTCAAGGAGGATGAGATGATCAGGGCATGTAGCACGAATGAGAGCGAATAGGAATACATATAGGATATTGATGGGGAAGCTAGAAAGAAGAGACAGCTAAGAAGACCAAGATGTAGGTGGTTGTACAATGTTAAAATGGATTTTAGAGGAATATGATGGGATAGTATACGTTGGATTCATTGACTCAGGATAGGGACCAGTAGAGGGCTCTTGTGAACACAATAATGGACCTTCGGTTTCCATAAAATGTTGTGGAATTCTTGAGTGGCTGCACAGCTTTCGGCTTCTCAAGGAGGGCTCAGCTCCACGGAGTTAGTTACTTGTTTCTGCTTGTAACTGTCTAAACTCTAAAAGTGCAGTGGTTACCATATTCACCACCTGCGGTAACATTAAAAATCTCGGCATTTTTCGCACAGGCTGTATTCACGTATTTCATATGATTCTAAGAATAAACAATGATTATTTCCATAAACAGCATTGACCAATTTTGTTTTATAATAGTAATGCAGTGTTTTTCCAGTGAGGTAGAAACCGATTTTTTTTTTAAATATTGTTTATAAGAAATGTGTGCATCAAGGGATTAACTAAATATATTTTCGCGTGTTTGCTAGGCAGCGCGACAAGAAATTGTGTGGGTTCTCGGATTCGAACGAATACCTTTATTGGGCAGTCACCTGTACAGTTATTCTCCACATATAACGTCCTTTAGACGTTTCGTCTCCAGTGATACAACACTTCTGCTCTAGTCGGATAATAACTCTTTCCTGCTGGAGTCGAATACAAACCGAACTAGTCTCTTGTCGACGTTGGACTCTTATAACGTGCACTCGGACTGAATAGGGAGTACCTTGTCGAAGAATTAATTTCACCCGATGTTACGCAACATTTCCCGGGACAGCGATAGGCTTCGCTGCCTAGGAATTGCTAGCCGTTGTATAGCAATTGATGCGTTCTGATCCCAAATATTCCGGCCCTAGGCGGCACGCCACAATATTAATACGAATTTTTTTATTTGTATGTTCCAGTATGTGGAGATATCCATGGCCAGTTCTACGACTTGATGAAGTTATTCGAAGTCGGAGGACCTCCGGCCACCACAAAATACCTCTTCCTAGGTGACTACGTAGACCGAGGATATTTTAGTATAGAGGTAAGCCATGTTCTTCATGGGGACATTTTACATAAATACAGAATCACAGTCTTTGCTTTATCATAACATTAGTGACAATTTTCCAGATGCATAGCACTTAGATTAAAAAAACGAAATTGCCGGTGTTGTGGTCTTGATATTACATGGGTTGCACATAAGGTAATGATGTCCGTTTTTTTTAATCAGGATATTAACCATTTAAGAATGTTGTACCCATTACAAAATTGAAACGTTCCCTTGAACCTCAGTAGTTGAAGACTTAATAATGGTAATATTACTTAAGAATTGGAGTATTAATTTTAGGTTTGGATTGTAATTTGTGGAGTCAGAGCTTCTAACAGTAATGGCTATGAATATTATTGTTTTCTAGAATATGAAACTGCGTAGTTTGGGAAATAGGTACACGCATGTGGGACGAAGCTATTGCCTCTGATTTCAGGGTATAGGAGTAAGCCAGGCGTGATTCCTTAGCGCTGTTTCTCCCTGTTTCTTTCATTAGTCCGTTGATTTCTATTGATCTGCTCACAACCCTAGTCCTATTTGACGTATGGCTGAACATTATTTCCACTCTCGGCTTACTCCTCAGACCGTGGCCCGGTAAAATCTATATTCTCTTAGACGAGGGCCCGGTATAATTGATGCCAGTGCCGTTACTGGGCCGCGGCCCCGTGGTTGAGAAACACCGCTCCACCCTGAAAGTGAGGCAGCAGGTGTCTCAGAAACGTTGGTACTGGTCTACCAAACTACATGTTGTCACCTCAAAAGACAGTAATCTTGTACAACAAACCGAAAAGAAAATATCAAGAATCAGTATTATCTGTTTTTCGAAGTACCGTCCTGATGTTTGCTGGAGTTACTTTCATAAGTCACAATAGTCACTGCCCGCATTGAGATTTGAAGGGATACCAGCTAAAGTATATAAGCCAAGCTGTTCCTTGTGTTGTTGGGAAAGTTAAAACCTATTAAAATAGGTTAAAATGTTAATTTATTCCCATGTTTAAATAATTAAGCACATCGCCATGAATATGTGGGGGAGTGAAGATATAGACCCCCATTATTTATCTTGGCACTAGATGGAGGTGAGCGACCAGCTTCACGCGCACGCTGCTTTACCCCTGGAAAAAAGCTCTTTGTACGTATTTGGAGGTGAGTGGTTATTTTCATGCCACTCCCGCTTTACCTCAGGGGAAGAGACCCATAGGATAGGAGGTTGGGTGGACCCCAGAGCCGGTCTGGACGAAGTGGAGAAAAGAAAATTATTGACCCTGCCGGTACTCGAACTCCGACCCTTCTGTCGTCCAGGCCGCAGCCAGTCGTTATACCGAGTATTAATATGAGGTCCCCATATGATGACACTTCAAGGTCAACACGTGTCATGGTATTAATAAAATAAAGAAGTATCATTTCATCTTGTAGTTTGGTGGTGTTTTTCTGAGTTTTTAGAATTATAGAAAATAAATACAGGGATGTCATTTGGGGGCAGTGCTTGAGTCTGCTGAAGAAACAGTGCTGTTGCACATTATTTACTCTTGTACAGTTGTTACTGTTGATTTGGGTTTTACGTATGGTTTATTAGTCATGCCATTATACATTCGTTGTAAGTACTGGCCCATGGTCATTTCTTCTCTGGTTCCCCCTCGTAACAACAACAGCAACCACAACATTTCCAGAACAGTTTGCATCTCTTCCCCTTAGTTTAGGCATCCATTAGTACCACATGCATGTGGTTAGTCCGTGGCCAGTATATCTGTTTCATCATTTTCTTTCCTTTGAGTTGTGTGTGTTCTGTTATTTTCGCCCAGACATAACATGTAATGTTAATTAAATGGTTTCTCCCAGCTCCATTTAACTCTCTCTTCAGTTCTGTCCATCTCCTTATCACTGTCTGACATACATTACTTTGCATCTTGCATATTTGTTCATTTCCTTTGCAGTAGGTGTAAAGGGTGAAGTTAAGATTGATTTGTATTAATGTTTATCAGACAGCCTAATCTTGGATGTGACCCATGTAGCGTGGTAGAAGTTTACCAATATTTAGGCCCTGAAGATGGAGGCAGTGTAATCCTGACTCGACAGCAGACTTTTATTAGACTTCACGGCGTCACGTCCCAGACAATAGTGCTCTTCATTATAAAGATTTATTATCGTGACTGACGGACTGTTGTGAGCAGTGAGGGTTCCTAATCATTTCTAAATTTTATACATATTTTTGTATGGTTGAAAGTATGAACACGGCGATGGCAGAGAGTTTTAAGTCCGCTAGATTATGAGCTATCTGCACGAATTACATAGAATTAACACATTAACGGCCCTGTATTTCTGTTTATATAGTCAACGCAAGACAGGGATATCATGACTTTCCCGCTATATATGTATGTCTCCGTGTTTTATATCCAAAGCTGTGTAGAGGAAGTAATTGAAATGTGGTGTTGAGTGGTGCACACCAAAAGCGTTCACGCAAATTTAATTTTAAGTCACTGTTGGTTCCGTGCTCTAAATGAAACTCGAATGCAACTCGAATTGCAGTATGCGCCAAAATGTTCAGTACTGAAACTTGCGTATCTCGAACGCGCATGTGCGTTTGTCGACTGGGCATAGCTCCAGCCCCACGTGTTCCCAGTAGTGAAAATGGAGTTGTGTTGTGCAGTTGTTGGAAATGGGTCTCTCAACGGAGGAAAAAGTATTCATAGTATAGTATTATTTCCGCTCATACAGAAGTGGTCGCCAGACAACTCGCTTCATTGGTTTTGAGCGGCCAGATGTTATCGTCCCGAAACCGCTACACAGTACACGTGTGAAGGTATGGTGTGCTGTCTCAGCACACAGTATATTAGGCCCCTATTTCATTGAGGATGATGAAAGCAGTGCTGTTACCATCACCAAAGAACGCCACAGGGACATGGTGATCGTTTCATTTCTTCAGGATTTGTTAAGGTTCTGTCATGCAAGGGGCCTTCACATGAATAGACAGTGGTATCGTTTCATTTTAGTACTGTAATTTTTGGCGCATTCTGTATATGCAACCATCTAATCATACATATTGTATGTAACATAATGTAGATCTCGCTAATGTAACTTACATATTTTTTATAACATAAATACCTGTAGTTCACTCAGGATGCAATTTATATCCTTATCAGTGTCTCGGTAGGTATGGAGTCACTGTTGTGAGAACATTAAATCTCAGACCTTCAGCTTAAATCGCTCCAAATTTCACATTCTTAACAGATCCATTGTTTCACATGCTGTAAACTGTCATGTCTTCTAAAGTAAAATCTCCTTGTCCTTCACCTCCTTGCTCCTTTCAGAAAAACAGATCCCTGATCATAGCTCAAATAGTATAAGCTTCAAATATGTGAAAATACGAAGGAGCGCCTTTACGTACATCACAAATGGATATAAAGTGTAAAACATGTGATATTCGAATCTTGGAAAAAATATCTATTTCTCGACATATCCTCCACCAACATTTATACATTTGTCCCATCCCTTTACCGGTGGGTCGAAATCAGCAGCATAGAAGTCTTCTGACTTGTCTGAGTCACTTTCGCACCTCCGTTTCAGCCTCTTCGTCATCAGCGAAACGTTTGCCACCAAGGTGTTTTTTTTTTTTTTTTTAGCGGACCAAACGGATGGAAGTCACTCATGGCCAAGTCCGGGCTGTAAGGCGGATGTTCAAGAAGTTCCCACTGTAGTTCTTGAATTCACTCCTCTCTTGCTCGGACTGTATGGGGTCTGGCATTGTCATGATGAAGCAGTACCGCTCTTTTCAGTTGGTCTGGAAGTTTACTGCGAATTGCTTAGCGAAGCTTAAGCAGAACTTTGCAGTATGATGCAGAATTCACATTTTCACCACTCTTCCGAAAATGTGCTGGCAGTACTCCCTGAGAATCCCAAAACACGTTAAGCATAACCTTCCCAGATGATGGCGTAACTTTAAACTTTTTGGTTTGAAGGTGCTACACTGTCTCTCGTTATTCTGTCATTTCGAATCAACTCCACCACCCAGAGCGCAGTTGCTTCTGTAGCAGTCTTAGCAGGCGACCTAGTCGGGCACCATTTGTGACTTTCGAATGTCCTTGAGAGAATTTCTCGCCAAGTTTTGAACCGTTTTACGCGACAGACACTTCCCTATGAATATCCTTTGTGTTGAGTCCTTTTGCCCACAAAAATGCGCAACAGAACACACAACTAGTTACTAGTATCATATACACTGGGACATGATATCACAAATCTTGCTTTCCATATTAAATATGTGAAGTGGGCTGAAATTCATATGGCACAAAGCTGTTGTAGGATGCATGTAACTGTAAAAGTCCATGGTTCATGATACTCGTGTAGTTAGTGGGGTGATACCATGTCGGCTAGTGTCACCTGTTGTGCTTGTTCGGATATCCTTGATGCGTCGTTGCAAAATCTGTACTGGCATAAGAGGGTTTAGCTTTTGCATTTTCCGAATTAAATATAAACATGAACTATGATCATTTGTTTCTCTAGGACAATTTAAGCTCATCGAATACCAAGAAAACAAGAAGTTCCTGGAGGACTTGAGATCTTTCAGATGTTCATTCCATACTAAAGCCATGTGCAGATTGGGATTATCTTAACTTTTCAGATGTAATCTTAAACCCTTTCATTGCCATCGTGTATATAAATAATGTTATTTAAAAAGTGTTTCATATGCATTCTTTATGGTATCTTAAGACTAGAAGCTTTTATGGCGATGAAAAGATGGGAAATCTTAGACAGGTGCATCACTTCACTGTGGATAAAGGAAAACTCCATTGCTTTAGTTCACAAGCGAACTATACCGACCGAGCGACCGCCGCTTGTCGGCGAATTTAGTGCCAACTTTTGTGGATAGAGGGTGTCGCATGATCAGTGCAACGAATCCCCACGGCCGTTAATCTCTTTTCTCTAGACCGGAGCCGCTGTTTCCTTGAAATATCTCCTCAGTTTTCCTCACGTGGCTGAGTGGACCCCGTTTCAGACTCATTACT